ACACATCGTGCCACTAGCAGCAGAAACATGGAAACATTGGTGACAAAGGAAACGGCGGTCCAGCCAGTAATCAGGACACTTCCTCCTTTTTATGATGCCATAATAGTCAAACTTCACAAGCGGAAGTGAATGACGATGGATGCAAACTGCTATACTGCCTAAGGATGCGAAAACGTGAATAGACATGCAACACTTTAGAAGAATCTCTGCTATCAAGTGAGTAATGTCGTCCAAGTGCCTTGTGGCTACGATGCACAAAGGATGCGAACGTCGCTCCAAACCCGTATTATCAGTAAGAGGAAAATATCCGAAATATCTGAAGCATATTGCTTGAACAATAAAATACTTGAACTGAATAAAACGTGATTCACGACCTAGAAGACTTTGAGAAACGGCATTTCCAATACCAAGAATAATATATCGTAATTATTAGGTGTTGCATAAAAATCGAGAATCTCATTAGCTAGATGGATGAAATGCACAAAATAACATTGTTTGAATAGTTATTAAACGAACGACTTTAGAAGCGAAAAATGCATGAACTTTCCGGCAAAGTCGCAGACACCGCATGCGACAGGTAAACGAAAAACTAATAATTCGATTGGGTTGGTTTGGTTTTCTACTATTTCGAAGTATCACAAAATTTGAGTCAACCAAAAAAGACAAAAAGGGAAGGCTAGGGAATGTAGAAGTGACAACCTGATGATACAAAACAGCGCCCCCAATTATGAAGAATAGAGCCGCACAAAAGCATCTCAGAATCCCAAGAAGCAGCTCCCCCGTCTGTGCCACGCTGCGTGGCATGAATGTCACGGCGTCGCAATACTTTGTGAAAAGGAGACCACCAAGGAATACGTGGGCCGCCTTTAACAGGCCCTGAATCCCACACAAGGCGAAGAGACAGAAACAAAAGAGGCTGTTTGCTGCGCCGGCAGTCACGTTGCCAATCCAGCATAGGATGGAGGGCATCGGGAAAGAGAGGGTGGAGACTATTACTAACGCACCGATCAGGCTTGGACTTGACCATCGCATAATTCTGCTTCCGAGGCCTTTGAATTCAAGAGCGATTGTGCGGAAAAGGAACTCAGAGGCAAAGAGGGTCCCGTAGAATAGAATAAAGTCTAGAAAGGGGAAGAAATTGAGAGAAGAGGTGAGAAGATTCCTTCGCAAGTAGATCACGAAGTAGGGGAGGAGAAGGTAGTCAAAGAGAATAGTTGCCGTGGTGAAGAGTGCCGAGAAGAGGATCATGATCAGCTGTCCTGGGGGACATCGATTTTGCTTGGGCGAAGCAAAGAAGGTGCTTAGGATGTATTTGTTCCGGATCGTCAAAGCTCGGGAGATTACCCTACTGTGAACTCCAACCTGTAAGGTTAGGAAACTCCAATTGTAAATGAATAAGAGACGAAATTTCTAAAATGAAAAAACAAAGGTGCAGCTGTGTTGTAATAGCTGAGTTCTGATAGTACTTGATGAGGTATTAGAGCAGCTCACTAATAGCATTCCGTAGCCTCACGCTACAGATCATAGCGACACTTCATGAAGCAAATATAAGTGACGCAAGTATTCAAATGCCTATCATTTACGAAGTCATTAAGTTTAAGAAACACAAAAGTGAAGAGTTCGCAAAAATACACAGTTGTGCAGATAAAATTGGCAAAATATGAGAACCATGCGGTTGTGTGTCATGTAGACGATTAAGATAGCGAATTGTTGATGCATGAGCCCTAGGAAGAAACCGATAAGGGGATGGCCAAAAAATGTAAGCAATTTTTGAGTAACATGAAAAAGACCAAACATACTTTGCAATCACCACTTCAGTCACCCCAAAAAACAAAAAAATACTGATATTAGTTTCGGACCTCCAAATCAAACAAGGAACCAGTTACTTAATAACAGTAAAATAAACTTACATCTGTAGATGTGAGATCAGCATC